AAATTTCAATCTTCTAAATATAAATAGAATTCTAAAAAATTTTAGCATAAAATTGCAACTTTAGAAAAGTTAAGAGACACGACCACTCCCTGAATGTCGACATCTATGTCCCCTCGAGATTGTGAACTAATAAAATATTCTAAATTATAATTTTGCCATGTACTAAAATTGGTGTATCGATTGGAGTAGAAGTTATCAAAATAATTTACTATAAACTCTTCAAATTACTTGAAATTGATTACAGAGACCTCGTTAAGCTCGAAAAGTGATTAAATTGAGTCCATATATCAAAAAATAGTTCTAAAATCATTACAAACACTCTATAATAGACATATTTGAGCCCAAAAATATGTTGCGACAAGGTTGGACCAACTAGCCGTCACTGATGATGCTGATGAGCGATAGGCACATGAATGCACATAGTGAATTTGATCTCTTTTATTTTTTAAAAAAATATATTTTTTAGGCTTATGTCTTCTGAGATTTTTGAATAAGCAAACAAAGTTATAAAAAAGATAACTATATATTCTTGAATAAGAAAAGATAGCTTGTACCTTATGAGATTTTTTAGATAATTGAATTACATATATCTTCTAAGACTTGTATCTTTTAAGATTTTTAGAAAAGAACTTATATCTTTTAAGACTTCTGCCTTCTGAGATACTTAAATTGAGTGTATGCTATATCAAGCACTTCCTCTCATGGAGCCAATATAGTGAGGACTACATACACTATTAGCTTCCTATATAAACTTCATTATAGTTGTGCTTTTTTAGGGTTTAGAGTGGATACCACATTTGCACTTGCCCTAATAGAAATTGATCACCTCTTATTTCTTTGGCATCCCTTAGTTTAGGGAACTTGACCTTTAAGTGTAAGTTAATCTAAGTTTCATTGAGGCTTTTATAGATAAAATATTCACTAAACTATATGTATCAATCAAAATTTTATGGTGTTGATGGTAGATATTCCAAATCTAGTTGAGTTGGTTAGAGAATTGTAATGGCATTTCTCTCAAAGTAATAATATTGAGATTTATTTTTTCCATTTGAGTTTTTAAGTGCTTTTGATCACTTGAGGTATTTAAAATTCTAGATCTCCATTAAAATGTTTGCTATGTATATTTAATAAGGTGCAATCAGATGACTCTTACAAGATTTGTTAGGATTTTTTTTTTTTTTTTTTGGAAAAATGTAATGAGAAGCAAGTTTATATGCATCTCTCAAAGGGAATTTTCTTGAATAAAGCATTATAGTTTATAACTTATGATATCACAAGGGGTATCACTAAGAAAGGGTTGATTCAAGTCCACCTAAGTTGTTGGAAGGTTGCGGGTTGGCTATATTGCACAAGAAAAATGAGTTGAACTGGTAGTGTTTGAGAGATTCTAATGAGGCTAAGATGGAGGAGAAAATATGGCAAGATGATGAGGGGCCATTACATAGGCTACATGGAATTGGTTAGCCCTGAGTTGCTATTAATTTTATGGTGGAAAAACTTCTTGTAATGTGATGGCGCTCTTTATTGTTCAACCTCCACTAAGAGTTGAAAGCTTTGAGATTGATGCTTCTCCTCGTACACATACACTCCTTTAAAGTGAAGCCTGATTGGCTGTCAAACCCCTAAAGCATAAGAAGCTAAACTCTTAAACATCAAGACGTCTTTTGGTGTAATGGCTGGAGTTTCAATAAAAAAATTCATATTTAAGTGTGCTCTTCCCGAAGAATTATGGGATATGTAATCTACTTGGAAGTTACACAAATAGGATAATCATGAGGCTCTTAAGCCAAAGCAGACAATATCTAGTTTGTTAAGAGTTTGAGTTGTTATATTGTCCTTAACCAATTGGAGCATGTTGTCTTGATTAAGAGATTGACTATCAGCTATTGGAGAAATGTTTATAGTATAGTGAGAGTATTTCTTACATATGATATTAAATCATTGTGAGCTAGATTATTCATGATAGTAGAAAGAGATTTTACTTTTTTAGATTTGTATGAAGATCCATCACAATATAGATAAAATAAAAGTTAAAGGAGACACCATAATTTTTATGTTAAAAATCTAAGGGGAAAAAAAGACTATTGGGCTTGGCCTAGTTGAAATGATTCACTCTATATAAATAGGATTACATAAGGAGGTTATTTTCCTCAATTAGAAAAAATGGGATTACAAAGTTGGAAACACTTGCTTGGTCTCTTATAAAAGTAGTGGAGGGTGATGAAGGTAGTTTGATGAAGAAGGTTGAATGATTATGGTCAAGATATAGCAATTAGATGAAGATGATCAGAAGACAGTGATCTAAAGATGATGATCATGCATAAAAAATTGAGCAATGATGATTGTCAGCAGCTATTGTAATAACAATCCAAACTCTTAATTATCGAGTTATTGTCTGCTTTGGCTTAAATGCCTTACGGTTTTGTCCTGTTAATGTAACTTCCCAAAAGTTCACCCATCTAGAATTTCTCCAGGATGAGTATGCTTAACTGGAGAGTTTCTTAAATTAAATTCCAACCATTACACCAAAAGATGTCTTAATGTTTAAGAGTTTAGATTCTTTTACTTAAGGGTTTTCACAATCTCCTTCACTTAAGTAACTGACGTTCTCATTTGTGTCTTATCCCAAAATTATCCACCAGATAGATAGGATTCTAGAGGTGACCCCTACAAGTTCCCATCTTTTCCCGCTATTAATTTCTCCCGGATGAGTATGCTTACCTGGATAGTTTTTTAAATTAAATTCCAACCATTACACCAAAAGACGTCTTAATGTTTAAGAGTTTAGATTCTTTTACTTAAGAGTTTTCACAATCTCATTCACTTAAGTAACTGACATCCTCATCTGTATCTTATCACAGAATTATCCACCAGATAGATAGGATTCTAGAGGTGACTCCTACAAGTTCAAGTGATGACTCCCGCTATATAACACGTCTTCTATAGCATTTAGTTCCCATCTTTTTGCTAGTTTATTGCTTTGATACCATTTGTAACAGCACAACCTTTTAACTATCGAGATAATGTCCGCTTTAGCATATGAGTCTCATAGTTTTGTCTTGTTGGTGTAACTTCAACGGAGGTCACCCATTTCAGGATTTCTCTGGGATGAGCATGCTTAACTGCAGTATTTCTTAAATGAAATTTCAATAATTACACCAAAATGCACTTCAATGTTTAAGAATTAGCTTTTTTGTTTAAGAGGTTTCACAACTATCGTCATTGTTGATTGTCAAATAGGGCTTTAGAGGACCTTAAATCTCTATGCTCTATCCAAATTTATATTTCACTTCAATCTATTCTTCATGCGAAGAATGACAGACTATTCATAGTTTTTGAGATTGACATTTTGATAAATTTAACTAAATTTTCAAAATGTCTCATCGGTCATTGCACATGTTAATTACTTTGACACAGATAATTCTTTTAACATTTAAGTGTCTTAATGACATCAACATTAAGTAATCTTAGCTAGTTGGATTTCCATTATTGAGACGCTTGATTTTATTGTAAGCACACAAGATTTGGCATCATTTGTCCCTTCAGTTAATACAAAGAAATTTTTAATTACACTTTAGGTTCTTGATTTTGACTCATTTGGACTCGAATATATACATTTTTTATATCATTAAGATATTAAGTTTGAATATAAGACTTCGTTTGGGACGACTTTCTTCTTGCTTCTTAAAGCAGCTTTCTAGTTCAAAAATTTTAATTTTTATACTAAAAAGCTGCTTTAAGAAGCAGTAAGAAAGCCGTCCCAAACGAAACCTAAATTTGTTAAAATAAGAGCTTAGATGATCTTGAATTTGAAAAACATTTGAGCATTGCATCGGTATATTGAAAAAAAAATATCATTAATAGAAGCACCAAATATATAAATTCGACATTTAATAAAAAGATATTGGATGAATTTTTTTATATTTTTATTTACAATATCAAGATTGACTAGGTTCAAGGTAAACAAAAATGTCATGACTGTTTCAATGCCTTGGCTGTGGCGATTTTATTTGGGGGCAGGCAGTTTGAAGCAAGAGAAGCTACAGATTTGATGTAGAAGTTTCAAGCAATGAATTAGGATCTGGAAATTAAGTAGGTGCCTCAATTAGTCAATAAAAGCTCGCAATTGATTAAGTAAAAAAATAAAGATTTATTAAATTATTCATTGAGCAGTTTGGATATGTGATCAGCACTCTTCAGCAATAATAACATCAAATCGAACGCAGGAGATTTTCCGGATTACTGCGTACGCATTGCATATTTGTAGATACGCAAATAATAAGAAACAAATATACAATACTTACTAAATACTCAGCAAAAACATAAAAAATACACACTAAATACTCAGCAAATACTCGCAACTAATGATTGGCTTAGTATTTACTGTATATCTATAAATACACCGTACATATGCAGTTTGTATGCAGTAAGTACGCAGTGCGTACACAACAATCAGAAATATCCTCTATGTTCGGACTCCGCACAAAATAATTTCCCGTATGATCGACTATATGAATCTTTTTTTTTTCTATTTTATCTTAGTAAGAGTCATTCTCATTTAAATCTAATAAAAAAATAATTTATAATAATTTCTAATCAAATTTTTTTAGTATATTCCTACCATTTTAACGGTTGTTAGAACAAATACATATGTTCTCCAAATCATAACAATGAAAATTCGATATTTCATGTGATCAAATAATCTAAAACACTCTCTTTAATTGGATAGGAGCTCTCTTTAAACTAAGGTTCTGTTTGGAATGTCTTTCTTACTGTTTTTTAAATAGCTGCACAGATAAGAAAATCATCCCAAAAGAAGCCTAAATTAAGAATTCTCTTTTTGGAAACATTTAGGTCAAATAAATCAAATTAAAATCTCTAAATTAATATTCAAAATCTCACTGGGTAATAAAGTATTCTTCATTGTATACTTTTTTTAATTTTAAATGAGAAAAATAATGAGATTTCTAATTTGTATCCTTTCAACCATTATATGAACCCTTAACTGTCCCTTTGCGGCTGTACTTCATGATCTGCAGAAGTCAAGGGGACGGCGAAATGGCCGAGATGGGGCTTAAGATACTAGATGGAACCGAGCTAAGGAGCGGCGATCTGCGGCTTCCTATCACCGGCGGTGCAGTTAATGGCAAGAGGGTTGTGGAAATGGCCGAAGCAGAGGCTGCGGCCCGCCTCTACGGACTGTCGTTACCGGATTACCTGAGATCGGGGGTCCTCCGGCGATTGGGCAGCGGAACTGATAGTTTTCTCTCCATGGAGTTCAGCGATGATGAACTTCAGAAGAAGAAGATTCAAGAATACCTTTTCGCCCTCGCCGATGAAATGGAAGGTCTGTCTCTCCTTTTAAGATTGTTCCCATGCCCTTAACTTTGCATGCTGATGAATTCGTTTGGCTTAACCTTTTTTAGTTGGATGGAGCGTTTACTTTGGTATAATGGGGTATTGTGATGATTAATGGAGTTCAGGGTTGATTTCAATTAGTTCGAAAGACTAGTGGACTAGGGTAATTCGTCAAGGCTAACTGTACTAGTATAATCTGTCAAGGTTATCCGTCAAGTGTTTGGTTGTAAGATTTAACCTGGATTTAGTCAGTATTTGACTTAAATCTTGTCAAACATTTTCTTCAAACTCTTTTGTCATGTGTAATTCCATTTTGTCGCTGTTTGTGCTAAATCGCGAATTTCTTAAATCTGGGGGAGTCAAGATTAACGCGACGTATCCCTCCGTGAACTTCTCTTCCATATATCTGACTTCTCTCTTTCTCTATATCATCATTCACCTTACCACCACCTACTCGCACGATCCCGAGGAGGGATTAGCTTACCTGCAGACGGTGATGTTACCTTCACCGGAGGAGAGAAGTTCAAAGTGGGCGTGTCAGGCTTTCGACTAGGGTGCAGCCGAGCGCTGCAGGGCTTAGATAGCCGGGTTAGGCTTCTCCAACCAAACTCCAAACTCATGAATGGTGTCACTCGCAAGCTCCAGCCGAACTGCAAAACTTCCGATATCTGTTCACCTGCGTTATTTTTCTGTCTCTACCGAATTTGCTGAAGAAATGCGCGAAAGAGAGAAAGACGGTTACCTTATGCAAAGGGCACAAAATGGAGTTAGATTGGAGATGAATCAGGCCATTTTTTAGTTTCACTGCATTTTGGAGTGAAAAATGGGATTTTCGGTTGGAGATGCCCTTAGGGCACCGAGTGCAAATTTTCGATGAAGAATCTACCACTGGCTTCTACGTGCATCACTATGTAAGTTATGATTGTTATTTATTAATATTCGATATGTAATTATCCAATTTATTACTCAATACTTATTTATTTGTTAAAAATAAATAGTTGTGTTAATTAGGATTAAAATGATTACTTAGAGTGATCAGAAATTATAGAAAACAAGGGATAATTATTTATTTCTAAATTTATTAAAATAGTAGTAAAATAAAAGTTTTCTCATAGATTTATTAGTCAGTTAATTATTTAGTCTAGTTAATCATAACATAGTTGATTATTATGTACTAGTAGTCTCTAATATTATTATAAGTTACTAAGAATGATTAGAAATTTATTTATTTTATTTATAACTTATTGATTAATGTCTGTTAAAACTTAATCTATATTAGTAGAATATTAATTGGAAAATTTTAATTATAATTGAGAGGGAATTAATCAGAGAAATAAATCTATTGAATTCAAATTTGAGAGAGTGTTATTTAGAAAAAGGGAGTTGATTTGGGAGGGAATTATGGGATCCTATTTAAGGCTAACAATAGAACACTTTTAGGATTATGTTTGGAGTTTGTTGAAATTAGAATTTATTAGATTATTTGGGCTCTAGTCGAAAGCTAGGGATTTGGGAGAGCCGGATCTTTCTCTCGAATTGAATTATCCAATTGTATCTTGCTATTTTCTTTCATATATCTTGTAATAAAAATAATTTTGGTGTATTTTTCTTCCTAATTTCTTATAGTCGTTCGTTGATTTCGAGAAAAAGTGCATACACTAATTGGGGATGTAATCACTGTTGTAATGCTGTTTCTCTTCAAATTCATATTTGAGGAAGAGGTAAATTATGCCAATAGATTCGTACAATTATCTAAACAAAATATATGAACATCAAAACTAAATTAATAACAAGCCTTAGAATTTGGGAATGTTCAGTGACTTTAGAGTGTAGCACATCCCTTCATGTTGGGAGAGATTATCATTGTTCTTTCCGTAATCTATTTCTGAGACTGCGTTCTCATCTCTACCATAGCACAGGATATTAACTTTTAAACCCACAACTTTGACAATCTCAAGGAAAATAATGAAAAATATAAAATTTAAATAATGCCAATCATTGGAACTTCCACTTTTATGTCACATACAGTTGTTGATGAAGTTTTACTGCATCCACCAAAAGGATAATATTTTTCTCTTTTTCTTTTCTTTAGATATAGTTTGCACAAATAAGGAGGGCGAAGTGGTGCTAAGGTTGACTTTGATACATTCAACTATTGGCTTTCCCTCCACATCTATTTTTATTAGTTTTTGCAATGCTAGGCCATTTTAAAAATCAAACAAAACAAACAATTTCTTACAAAGGATTAGCATTAAAAAATAAAATTATACAATCAATAAACAAAGTTTAGCTTCTTCGACTGGATTGCAATATCTTGTTCCCCATGCTTAGTAAAAAGTATAATTGCTCGAAGATATATGGTGAATTAAAATACTCTGAACAAAAAATATTAAGAAATTCTTTTGAAGCGTAAACACAATAGTAGGGCTTTATTGAATTTGGTATGTAAGAGAATGCCTTATGTACGTATGGATCTCATTTTCCATGAGAATTAGAGACTTGGCTCATATCTCTTAATTATAGTCCGATGGTTTCTCTTGAATCTACAAAAAGTATCTTGACGGCACCCTACATATACTAACAATTAGGCTCATTATGAGTTTAGCTCAACCTAACTGCCACATTATTTGGAGCACATAAGGGTGTAGGTGGGAGATAAAATATCTTATTGTTTTTGCTCCATAATCAGTGCATGGACTACCTTTGTACTATTTGAACATTGAAAGAAGGGATGATGAAGTTATGTATTCTACGTTGATGATTATCATAGGGTTATCAAAACCCATCCTCTTAATCTAAGAGTTGTTCTTAGTGTGAAACCTTCATTAAAGGATCTTCCAAGTTCTTTTTTACCTCAAAAAAATTAAAAGAATATCAATTATCTTCAAATGCTTGACAGATTTATACGTTATTAAAATAATGTAACCTACTTTCTTATTCAAGTTTGCTTGTCTGATAAAATTAATAAGAATATTCATAATTTAAAAACACATATGTAGCAATGTTGCAATGTTGATGCAATTAAATGTAATTGAGCCATTAAATCCTTAACCTTCCTTCCTCAATTCATGTATTATTATTGCAAATAATTTAGATATTATTGTATTCCTATTCATCACGATCAGTATTAAAACTTGTCATTAAATGAAAACAACTACAGGTGGACTTTACGTTACAATAATCTTCACACGTATTAAAGAAATCAAAATATATGAGAGCCAAAGTTGTAGCCTATTATGATATCTAAAGATTATGGTCAAAACTTGCTAATGCTCAACTAGGATTTTTGTTACATCTACTTGAGTAATCAACAAAGAAAGTGGTATCAAAATTAGCTAGAATGGTACATAACTAAATGAATCTATATGATGCTCATATTTAGGACTGCAATCAAGTCGAGCACACTATGGATTGGACATAGCTTTGTCATACTAAAAGTTTGTGTTCGGCTTAAGCTCGAGTCGAGATTTCACATATGTATTCATATTTGGCTTGTTTATATTTTTCTATGATTGAGCTTGGACTGTACTTAATCAGCCTAAATTAATAAAATGTGTAATTAGTTTGAAAAAAATTAGAAAGCTAAAAAAATAAACTTAAAAATTTACTTCAATAAGAAGCGTTATGTGGGAAATAAGCCTTCACTAACTTCTCAAAATAGTTGCACCACTTTGATGGCTTGAAGTCAAGATGATTACAACTAAGAAGAAAAAAAAAAGATATGAGATGCTTCAAATTCTACTATATGATGGACTAATATCAATATAATTTAAGACCCCATCATATAACTTCACTTCTTATCAACAAAATGTCCAATGACAACTATAAATTGAATTTTTGGTCTTGAAAAAGATATGAGATGCTTCAAATTCTACTATATGATGGACTAATATCAATATAATTTAAGACCCCATCATATAACTTCACTTCTTATCAACAAAATGTCCAATGACAACTATAAATTGAATTTTTGGTCTTGAACTCACTAAGTTGTTATGTTAAAAATTTTGAGTGAACATAACAAACCTTTTAACCTTTTCTTCTTGGTATCATAACTAATGTGGGTCTCCGAAAGGATTCCGCTCGTGTGGTTCGAATGCAAAGAGTACGCTCACACTATCCCGTAGGACAAAGTGGTCGTAGAACTTTACAATCGACACAAGCAGGCCGATGGAAGAGCAGATGGAGTTATAGATACGATTAGCCATGGAGGATAGCGGCTTTCACCTACTAACCTCGATGGATAATAATATCTATAACCCAAAAGTTCACGAGATTTCCCCCATTCGATACATCAGCTCGAATGGGGTTTATTTGATTGTGGGGA